AACGTGTTTTTATTCATCTCAGTACATTTTATTTGGTATTAGTATATGTCACTTGCTGTTCTTGTAGAATGATTGCTAGCAAATCACTGTCTACAACATTGTGCTGCTTTTATCGCCTAAGGATTAATAGTTTAAGTAATGCTCCATACGCAGCTGGTTTCCTTGTGTGAACTGCAGTTTTATCCTTTCATCTCTGTAAGCTTCATGTTCAGACACTGCCCCTTTGTTGCTCAACATTACATTAATTTCTCTGCTCCTTTAACAACAATTGTTAGTCCTGATAAAGCACAAGTAGCATTCGTTTCTAAGAAGTGTTTAGCATAAAACACATTGGGAAAACTTTTGTTTTGCATATTTGAAGAATAATCTTAAAATGATGCAGTGATCTTAGAATTTTCATGGTTTAAAATTAACTCTATCTACAAAAGCAGTAATTTTTGAAACTTTGCGGAATAAGTTGTATTACTGAGGCTATCCAGTGGTGCCTCAGTTTACAATTTAATCTGCTCCATGATTCTGGGAAGATGGCTACGTTTGTGTTCATGTCGGGAGGATGGTCAAGATCCTTTTTGTCATGCTGTGGAGTTCATGAACGGAAGCAAAATTTTGCAGAGGTCCTGTGTTTGGAACCAAATTTTTCAGGAACTGAGGTATTAATGTATTAGTTATAGTTTAATACTTTACTATGTGTAATTAATCCAGTACTATCTCAATTATATGAATAATTGTTAAGTAAAAATTAACTTGAAATTAATAAATAGTTCCAATATATTTCTTACTAAATTTAATCAGACTTATTGATGTTAATTTTCATATTCATAAATAAGTATTTGTCAAAAAAGTACTGCTAGTGCCTTCTGTACCATAGTTCATATACATTTTAGTGTTCTCAGGATCTGACTGTAAGTTCAAAAGAGGACATACTGTGTCTAATTGGTAAACACTAGATAGTTAATCACTAACAATGACTTTAAGGTTTTTCACATTGTTGATGGTGCAGAAGTAAAATAGATTTAATAAAAAACATATTCGTGAGATAGAGACATGACATGCAGTAGTCTACAGTGCACCATGGAAGAATTGTGATGTTTCTTAGATTAGGTGTATTAAATGTGTTTTCAATTTACAGTAGGTTTAAAGGGATACACTATAAGTTGAGAAGTACCAGTGTGTATTCATATACACATTATGAAAGCCTGAGGGTTGTTACAAGCCTGTAAAATGTCAGGAGCGATTTCAAAATCCAGGTTGAGAAGAGATAAAGCAAACATTTATCCCTAAAAACACTTGTATTTGGGGCTCTATTTTGATGGCACTTTAGATTTTCAAAATTGTATACAGTAAGACAGCTTTATTAAGGAAATAAGCACTACATTGATTGAATTATTTCTTAATTATGCTACTTACATGATTTTTTTTCAAAATTTTGAGAAAGGCAAAGCAGAAAAAAATACTATCATTCCTAAACCAAACAATAAAATTGTTTTTACAACTTGAAAAATGTCTTTGGGGTACACATATCTTTTTATGTATATATTTCAAATATAAAAATCAATTTTGTTCATGTTTATGGAAATATGTAAATATAGGAGTGTGTGTGTGTGTGTGTGTGTGTGTGTGTGTGTATATACATATAATTTAAAAAGTAAGCCTTGTTTTGAATTGGGAACATTTTGTAAGTGCTTTTTATCAACAAATAATGTCATGAGCATTTTTAATGAATATATGCTCTTCTCTTCTGGATATATTGCTTATTGTTCATCATGATAAAATAGTTCAACATTTACTGCACATTGCTTTTACTTGAAGTACATTTTCCCTGCAATTTTTAAGCAATATGTGTAGGATAACATGTTAGAACGTTGAGAATTTTTGAGATGTAACATTTCAATTCTTTTTTAATGATTTTATTTTAAAATATTAGTGTAGTACCTAGAAAGTGAAATAATCTATATCGGTTTACTCTATTTGCTGTAGGAAATATTAGAACTATCTTTAAATGGGCTTGGGTGTGTATGGATTTAAAACCATAGCAAGAGAAATCTTCATAAGTTTTGTTTACTTTCCTTGCTGTTGAAATGAAGGCATCAGGGCAAATAGTTCGTTATGCCATGGCAATTACGAACCACATTGTCACCACCAACCTTCTCTGTTACAGTTTGCTTACCTGCATTTATATGAACAAATATGAGTAGATTTTTTCACCCCAAAGCAATTTACAACATGAAAAACAGCAAAACAAAAATCCAACCTGAACATTGCAGTATATGTCTTTAATCTCATCACTTTGGGTGGTTCAGGCAGGAGGCTTAGAAAGTACACCCTCTGCCCAAGCAGATAGAGACTACCAAGAAGTATCTCAAAATAAACAAAAAAAGAGATGGGGTTGTGCATCAGTGTAAAAGCCCTCCGTTCAATCTCCAGTATCACCAAGAAAAACAACAAGAACAAAAACTAATACCAAATAAATATCTACTATAGGTCGCCATTTTTATCACCTGAACGTTAGCTGAATATTTTCACTCAGATTCGTGGGGTAAGACAAATTGTCCAAATACATGTCATGAGGAAGTTAGACAGTTATTAAAACACCATGTGAAGCTGGACATGGTGGGCTCCTGTACTCCTTGCAACTTTGGCGAAGGAAGCAGAAGAATTGTGAGTTAGAGGTCAGGATGGGCAATGAGGAACCATACAGAAGTTCATCCTCAGAAAATAATAAAATTAAATAAAAAAATAAGTAAAGTAAGAAGCAGCAGATGAAGTCGAAAGCTATGGTGACATCATTTGAATACGACAATTTATTAGTGTGGCACTGTGAAGCATGTCACTTCTTCAATACTTGACTTTACTATCTTTAATAGTATATGCTGTTTCATTATGTGCATCATATGTTACAGAAATCTAAAAGTAATTCCTAAAGAGAACTTTATGGGTTTCCAAACATGCCTTTTCTAGTACACTAATTATTAGTATTTTAAGGTTGCATTTGAGATGTTAAGATACCTCCCTGCTTAATCATTCCCTTGTCATTAATATAAACTTTCTTTAACTTCTCCCACGTTTTAAGTTTTGCCTGTCTCCAGTGCTTCTGTATTCTTGGCTAGCAATTAAGGAGGGATAGGAAATGCACAATACAGTATATTTACGCCAGTATTAATGTTACGTAACACCATTACAGTAAATGACAATAAAGACAATAAGATTCAGATGTCACTAATTGGTCTCAACTCTGAATGAAGAAACTTATAAAACAAACAAACAAAATAACAAATACAATAGAGCAGCTCTACATAGGTAATATAGCAGATAGTCTAAGTAACGCTCCACTGGGCAAAGACAGTGGACCACCAGCTCCGGCTGGGGTGTTAGCAGAAGAAGATTGCTGTTATCCACACGTGTTCACTCAGCTAAATTTTTCTGTATTCAAAAACTTGTCTGAGGGGCTGGGGATTTAGCTCAGGGGCAAAAGCGCCTGCCTCGCAAGCGCAAGGTCGTGAGTTCGGTTCCCGGTACTGGAGAAAAACAAAAAAAAAAAACAAAAAAAAAAAAACAAAAACAAAAGCTTGTCTGCACTGCCAATTTTCAAGATTTTACAAAAGATTATTTGGACTTTCATTTAAATTAAAATAATCAAATGTATAAAGCTGGGCCATACACTATTAAAACAAAAGTCCATATAAAATATTAGGTGAATTTAATAATCATAACAATATATAAGAACTAATAAAAATATAGTTCCACAATTAATATAAATTTGATTGATTTATAGAGGAAGTTAGGAATCTGCTCTTAATATCTATATTTTCCACACTATCTTTGTTTTAATTTAGGGTAATAGGAAGTTTAGAGATTCTTACCAGATTCTTTTTGACATTTTTTTTATTTTAAAAATAAAAGAAGGAAAACATTCTGAGTCCTGTACCTGTTCTTACCAGATTCTTGAGTAAAAAATAATTAGATCATTTTAATAATGTAACAAATATAGGCTTTATATACATGTACATTTTCAAATTTTCCTTTATTTTTAGTAAATGACAAATATGTCTGTACTCATAGATGAGTCCAATACCCATAAGATTATTTTCCAAGTCTGTGCCCTAAATCCATGAGATTGTCTATTATTTCACATTTACAAGGAAGAAAAAAGAGTACTAGCAAAGAAATGAAAAATAAATCCACAAAATAATGTATACGTGAAAGTATTCTGCCTTTGGTCTGATATGTTTTACCATATTGAGACTGCATTACTTTTCTCTATAAACCTATGGAAAATAATAATTGGTTTTAACTAGAAAAAGCACTGTTGAACAAAGACTTTTTATCTTGAAATTTCATTTATCTAAATGTAATATTCATTTTTCATTTCCTTTTTAACATTGTAAAATGCTAGTCATTAAATTGCCTTAAGTAAATGTCACATTGTGTTTGTGATACTAACTGAAAGTATTTCAAAATATAGACTTTACCTTTTCATGTTCGACTATTCCATTTCTTCTGCTCTTTTCAATGTTGAAACTAATTCTATATCATATAATTTCAGATGTGAAAACCAAAATTATAGAAAATTACAGTGTACATTCTTGATACATTGTAAGGAAACAGTCTGCTTCTCACAAATAAAAGATATATTAAATAGAACTGTTTTTGAAGATGTTTACATATGATAATTAGGGTAATTATAAGAGCCCACTAAGTAACTAGTATAAGATATGCCAATTTAAGAATGTCAACAGAGTATTGTTATATATTTACTCGCTGAAAAGAAAGCCTTATGAAAATATAGAGTTCTCAGCTGGGCATGGTGGTGCACGCCTGTAATCCCTGAACTCAGCAGGCTGAGTCAGGAGGATTGCTGCGACCTCAAAGCAGCCTGGGCTTCATAGAAAGACCCTGTTTAAAAAAAAAAAAGAAAAAAAATATATGTATGGTTTATATGTATGGTTCCTGTATTATCTGATTCTTGTTATTCTCACTTACTCATTTATTTATCATTTCAGATTAAAAAGATCAACAGAAACTTTCCTGTAAACCAGCAGGTAAGATCAAGTAATGCTTAGAAGATCCAATATTATATTTTTTGAATTGCATCTTTTATAAAACATAATCTTGAAATCATTTGAATTTTATCCAGAAAGAATTAGTAATGTCATGTGCCATCTTCAGAAAAAAATATAAATTGAAGAAGTTTGTTGATGCTCTGTCTGCTTCTCTTATCACATTAAACAATGGGCTTTACATATTTTAGCAAAAAAAACTAAGATGAAATGTATTTCTTGGGAGATAATTATTTGTATGCAACATTGAGGAACTTGGAGTACAGTTCTCGTATGACAGTTTTCATACACCCTAACTATTGAAACATATATTTTAAATCAACTTCAAAGTTCCTGGGAAATTTACAATGTAAAATAGTATTTCAATTCAAATCTCATTTAATTAATAAAGATCAAAAATAATATTTGATCATTCAGTTGAATAACCTTATTTCTCTTGACATCAACATTCATTTGCAGCTGTATTTAAAGTCTACATTTCTAATGTAGATTTAGAAGTGGTACATAAATTGTAAATCAGTTTCAACCATTAACGCTTTTAAAACCTCTTCAATTTTTAGGAATTAAGTTACCTTTTTATCTAACCTTCAGTTGCCTCTTCTGTAGCATTTGCATGAGGGAAATTATCTTTTAGATTTACTTTTCAGGGCTAAATAATAAACACATGCACGTCCTCAGTATATTCTATTATTACCATTGGTAATGCTGAATGTTTTTAACCTGTTCTTTGGAATAGAGAATTTATGTTTTTTAGAATTTGTTATTAATGAAGCTACTAGACTGTGCTAGAACGGAAGCCATGTGTAGCTGACATACTCATAAGAGAAACAGCTCTGGCAAATTTGGGGTGTCTGCAAAATTCTGATCTACTCCCTTTTCACCTCTGAGAATCTCAGTTTTCTGCTTGAGGCCTGCAGCCCTGAGCCCAGCTGGTACTTTGGACAGAGGCAAAGATTGGAGAGGTGTGTGTCTTGACACACCGTATGACAAGCTCTGGTTGTGTTTGAGGTCCTTATTTGCAGTGCCGAATTCATCCAGAGGTGTAGCCCAGATTCCCCCATTCAGTAGCTCTATGAGAATACCTCCGCAGCTCGCTGTGTGAATTTGATCTTGTCCCAGGTGACAGTCAGGGTAGTACACAGGTGACATTTTGAGAACTACCATGGGATGACTTTATGGTGCTCCAGCAGAGTGGAAATGCCATTACTGAGAAATTATTCAAAGAGAAAAAAGCATCAGCCATGGTAAAGCTTGTACTGCTCACCAGAAGACATGATTGTTTAATTGACAGATATATAAAAATAGAAACTATGAGTCTTGTGAATTGTTACTAAAAATAAAAGTGATGAGTGGTTTTCGATTTAACAGTGACTGTAAGATCTGTGTGTTACTCTACCTCGCTCTTTCTGCCAGCCCCGTGAAAAGTATTAAGAAGTGGTGTAATGTGCTTTAGTAGGAGAGTTTTGTAGCCCTGACAATTCCACAGCTCTTCTTACAAGGACAATTACATCTTAACACCTCTTACTGTTAAAGAAAATCTGAAATACAATGCAGTGTTTGAGTTTGAGTAAGAGGCAATGCACAAGTTAGGAAATATTAAGCTGAGAAGAGTGTTAGTGTCGCCAGGACAAAGTGTCAAGGTGAGTATGTGTGGAGAAAACGCAGAAGGAAAGTGAAGAAATTGTTTGACTGGTTACAGTGATGCAGCTAACTTTATTTGGTCCGTCCTATTGGAAAGTCCCTAGATATTATACATATATACATATATATATATAAGATTTAGCTAATAGTTTGAACCTTGAAAACCCTTTGATTGCATGACATTGTGGCAGCTGCTGTCACGGTAGAGTAAGCTTAAGATGAAGAGGTAACAGGACAAGGCAGACAGCCAGAGAGAGGGTCAGGGTCAGGCTTGCTCTTTGCTAATAGAGCTCTCACAAGAACGAACCAAGGTCCCAGGAGAACAACCTCAGTTCCTGCAGAGGGTAGGCCCCCCAAGGACTTCACAGCTCTCCCACACCAGGGCCCAGCCTCTTGATATTCCCTACCACCCCTAACACCATCACACTGGGCATTCAGACTTTGATATGCGAACCCTTGGGAACACACTAAGATCAAGAGTGAACAAAATCTATCCTTACTATTTTCTGTTATATGAATGAAGAAGTTCAGAAACAAAGCCTAATTTACAGTTAACATCCATATTTATGCAGAATAAGACAAACTCACTTATCCAGTGTGGAGATACCTGAAGAGACTAGGAAATATTTCTTGCTTAATAAAATGTGAGCCACTGTAAGGAATAGAAATGAAAACATGTATCATCCTATTTCTGATGCAGATTTAGCATTCAAGTGGTACCTTTGCCTTGAAATTAACCACACAGACTTGCTTTCATCTCAAATTTTTTCTAACCTGATTTTTCTGTGGATTTAAAATTCGGTTATACTTATTTGTATGCTTATGTTTAATGCATATGCATATGATTAAACAGTTCATGCAAATGTTAAAGTACCTATGTGCTGTATTAAAATTCCCATGTGCAATGTTTAGTTTTCTCCTATTTCTAATGTTCTTGGTATTATAAAGGGGAAAAAAAAAAGACCAAAACAGAAAAGCTTTAACCCAAGATGCACTGTGTCACAAGACCTCTGCTTCCCTTGAGATTTAGTATTGAATTTATATTACAAGGTGATACCTTTGCCCAACCTGAGAAGTTAAGACAAAAATGAAACATAAAGGGACCTGGAGAAAAGTACTACTGGGCAGCGGAGGCCAGCACTAAGGGTTAGCTGCACGGGGACTGTGCTATACCGTCCAGCAAGCAGGAGACCCCCGGTGAAGATGCTCTCACAGCTGAGATTGACTCCCAAAGCTGTAAATCATTTGAGGAGATAAACCATGATGAGGGAAAATGTCATCTAGAGATTGTAAACATTCAAAAATATTTTAGTTTTTTTCTAATAAAGGTGCACAAATTGTAAGACAAAAATAAGCCAGGGTTCTGCATGTTACTGCATGGATCAGAGCTTACCATATTTACTGCACTTATTTTAACTCAAACATCTCCATAGTGAACTGCATCTCTCAAAATAGCATTTGATAATGAATTATTTCCAAAGAATGAGACCATAATGTTAAGTAAAATAAATCAGACACATGAACTTTAGTATGACATGGCTTCTTTCATATGAGAAACCTAAATTATAAATAAAGAACAAAAGAAAAGATAGATACTAGATCGTAGGGAGATAGATCTTTCTCAAATGGGAAGGGGATTAGGAATGGGAGAGAAAGAAGACGAAAATAGGAAATAAGATGGGTTAAGTAAATGTAGCGACTCTAGACAAGAAACAAATATTGTACACTGCAAACATGTACTAATTAGAACAAAATATTAATATAAACTGCCCTTTTCTACTGAGAATTTTATTATATGATAGTTACTTTTAATTCTTTTAGATAATGAATGATATTCTTTTAAAATATAAAACTTACCTCAGGTAACTAATCACATAGAAGTATTCATCTTTGACTATACATAATAATTTGGACACAATAATAATGCTAAGCAGATACATGCAAGCAATACTGAGACACAGCAGAGGGAAAGGTGACTCACTGTCTTTAAATGTATTGAAGAGAGCTTAGAAAGGAAAGAATAGCCTGAAAGTCCATTTCTGGCAAACATCAAAGAAGACAGGATAAAAGACCTTCAAAATTTAGCTTCTGCATAAAAGCAACAGTAACAAGAATATTAACAGCAAGAAGAAAAAAAATCTGGGAAAAATGGTCAGACTCAACTTTTACTGAGAAGGAAATTTCCCAAAGACATTGCCTAAACAAGGGAACAATTATTTAAGATAACCAGATGCATCTGAGAACAGCAAGCTTTCTGACCTGGAAATGCATTCCAGCCCTAGCTGCTGTCCTCGCATTCCCAGGACTGCGTATCTTCTGTGATCTATTGATTTTCTAGACTTGGTCCAAGTATCAGTTAAAATCCAGTATCCTATGATTTTTAATTTAATAACACTCATTTGCTTCATTAAAGTTTAACTTTATTAAGGATATGTACATGTATATGTGTGTATATTTTAAACAATATGTTCTATTTATGAGACTGGCAGTTGGTTTTTATTTTGGTCTGGGGAGATATAAATATCTTTTTATTTTCAACTTAAGGAAAACTTTTTCAGCTTTTTATATATTCAGTGTACAAAATGTTGACAACAAATCATAGCGTTATATAATCTACGGATAAAGCACTTGTTGTCATTCAGGTCTGTTTTATAACACTTGGTGATAAAACATCCTGACATTTTCTGTGATTTAAAGGAAGACTCTCCTCAAAATAACCTGTTTCCATACAAATTCACTCTTCAAAAAAGAACTAGCTCATAAATCATTAAGAAAAAATAAGATCGGCATGGTGGCAAATGCCTGTAATCTCAGATCATAAGAAGGTTAATGTAGGAGGATTGCAAATTCTAGTCCAGTTGAGCCAACATAGAGAAGTCCTCTTTCAAAATAGAAAAAAAAAACAAAAGCAGCTAGAGTATTTCTTAGTGGCAGAATGCTTCCGCAGCACGCACAAGACCTTGTTCCATTCTCAGTAATGCAAAAACAAACAAAACTTAATAGAAGTGACTTCACAGGGAAAAAAGATATAAACATTATTTTATAATTACACTAAAATACAATGACATATGTCAAACACAGTAATTATCATTGAGATAATATTTACCACATTTCAGAAAACTTACGAAATATATTGAAATGATAAAAAGTTGTGTATGTGTGTGATTGGGATTGTTTGTGTGTTGTATTTGTACACATACAGGGTCTTCTTTTTTTTGAAACGCTTTCTTAATACTTATTTGTATTGTTTAGTATATAAAATTTTAGAATTCTGAGAGGGAGAATATCTGTAGCAAAATCGCCTTGTTTACCATTGTAGAAACACACAGACACACTGATAA